CCCCCCCCCCCCAAATAGTAAAGGTAATTATGTAGGCTCCGACATGAAGGGAAATATAAACTGTCCCAAAGGCCTACCTCGAACCTAGATCCCCCCCTCTCTGACCCCACGGGCGCTTCCTCGGAAACAGCAGCCTCCGAGACTTCCCCGACCAAAGGCAGCCGTGCAGTGGCGACGAAGAGACCCCCGAGAGAGTCCTCGTTGACTTCAGCACTTCTCGGCTTTGAAAGCCCGAAAACCCTACAATTTTGACGTCAGCACTTATCGGCTTTGAAAGCCCGAAAACCCTACAACTTAAATGACAGCCTCAAACCCTCATAGTAGGGCCTTGCACCTCAAACCACGAACCTAAGTCGTGACACAGGGAGGTCTGCAGCAATTTTGGGGGCACAATGCTTGACCTTGCAGCCTTTTGATAATTGGAGTAGGGTTCTGAGCTCCTTTAGCCTCAGGCTCAAAACAGCCCAAAAGCCTTACATAGTATGGCCTTTGAGCCCGAAGCCCTTAAAAGCTTAGGGTTTGAGCATGGCTATATTGAGGAACCCTCAGGAAGAAGGGTTTAGGGTTTATAGGGTTTGGGGTTTAGGGGTTTAGGGGTTTAGGGGTTTAGGGGTTTAGGGGTTTAGGGTTTAGGGTTTTTTTTAAGTGAGGGTTTAGGGTTTGGTTGTCCAGGCTTCTATCGTATACGGATGCTCATTCTCAAAGTGGCTGATGATTAACCACAGGACACTATGCACGGGTTCGTTCGAGACGGGTGCAGGGTTTCAGCGCAGGGATGGATTAGCATAACTTGTTCGTTAAACTTTATCTGGAACTGAGGGGACTGCAGCAGGATATTCGCAGTAATCATTCCGACCTCTCTGTACTGTGTGAGTTGTGTTCAGACGAGCTGCCAAGGGCGATCCCTGGAGGAAATGCTCGTCGATTCGCCTCTTGGGGGGGACATCAAGGGGCGATCCCCAGACCCTTCCAATATCCCTTAATTAATACCCTAAACCCTAAACCCTAAACCATAAACCCTAAAAAAATAAGGAATGCCTTATAACACCAAATAACCGACGGTTTTTAAGGTTTTATGTAAAGAAATCATGATAAGGTCCAGGTATACCTTGAATGAAGAGGAGGGTCCCTAATATGGTTTAAGGCGTGTTGCCAAACTTTAAAGTATGTTTGGAAGGTCTGGGTCGTTCTAGGTATCAGTGATAGGGCTTACAAGGGCTTCGGGTTTAGGGTTAAGGGCTTCGGGTTTAGGTATCAGTGATAGTAGAGTAGCTAGGGTAGCAGCGGCATCAGGGCGGGATAGTAGGATAGTAGTTTCAGCTGAAGACTGCCTACGTTTTCGGGTGTATATCATCCGCAACAACAAAAGCAAAAGCCCTCAGAAAAGGGCTTGTTCCAGAAGAGGCTTGGGGCTCGGGGTCCTTTCTCTAAGGCTCCATGTGCCTAAATAGTATGTAACAAAGGCCGTGAAGTGCCTATACAGGAACCCCTTTGAGGCCTAAGCATAGCGTATACTAGTATATGTACATGGAACCTTAGGACTTTCGTACTGCCACCGCAACTTTCGGAATTCTGGCACACTGCTCTTGATGCTACAAATCCTGCATTACCTTAAGGACCCTGAACTATATAGGAATTATAGTATATTCCTGATTATGGGAAATGCAGGATTTATATCAACCCTATGGCATCTTTTCCGTTCTAGCCGAGACGACCTGCCAAAAACCTTCCTCAACCCAAAGGGTCGAAGTATTAAAATGGTAGGGTTTAGGGTTTAGGGTTTAGGGTTTGGGGTTTAGGGTTTAGGGTTTAGGGTAATATGGTAGCTACTTTGTAGGTTTTGGGCATTTGGGCCCCAAGAGCAAATACTATGCTATACCTTGGACCCTTTGGGTTCAGGGGCTGCTTAGGGGGAGGGCTCTGAAAACCTTATTATGGGCTTGCCCACAAGATCCATATACCAAATCTCCAAAAGAATCTCCAACCGAAGTTATCCATGCAGGCCCCATCACCTCACAATTACTGGGTCCTTTTGGACCCTTCTGGGAAACCCGACAGTCGCTCCAAGAAGAGGACAGAACAGAAGCCCATCCGATTTCAGCCCACGAAAGCTTTCCCAACGAGTTCAAGTTAAAGTATAGTTTATACTTTTGGGACCCAAATACCTACAAAGTAGCTACCATATTACCCTAAACCCTAAACCCCAAACCCTAAACCCTAAACCCTAAACCCTACCATATTAATACTTGGACCCTTTGGGTTTCGGGACTCAGAAGCTCCGGCAAACCCCGCAAGCTCCGCGTGCTTTCCGAACTGATTTTCAGCTTCTAAACCTCAGCCCGAGACCTGAACCCTAATGTGGGCCTTACCCAAAGGGTTTAGGGTTTAGGGACCCTAATGTAGGGGCCTTACCCAAAGGGTTTAGGGTTTAGGGTTTAGGGACCCTAATGTAGGGGCCTTACCCAAAGGGTTCAGGGTTTAGGGTTTACCTGGACCATAATGTAGGGGCCTTACCCAAAGGGTTTAGGGTTTACCTGAACCCTAATGTAGGGCCTTACCCAAAGGGTTGAGGGTTTAGGGTTTAGGGTTTACCTGTACCCAAAGGGTCCAAGTATTAATATGGTAGCTACTTTGTCGCTATTTGGGCACCGAAGGTATATACTAGACTATACTATAGCTTGGACAGTTTGGGTTAATTATTAGAATAGGGTTTTGGGCTCCTGTATAGTATAGTTGTAACAAGGAACCCTAAGGAACAAAGATTGGTAGTAATTTAGGCTTTTATATGTTACTCCTAAAGCCTTCTACGCCCTTCATGAACCCCAGAAAGGTCTTGGCTGTTTTTCATAGAGCACACATGGAGAGCCGAACTGACTTCAGTCGGGCTTCGTTCTTTTTTAAGGGTTCAAGGTTTAGGGTTTAAGGTTTAGGGTTTAGGATTTAAGGTATACGCATGTTCAACTTTCTTCTAAGACTAAGTCAACAGGATTAGAGGGGTATGTGATCTTCAGCGCAGCTGTCAGCCAGTGATGGGCGCAGAATTGAAGGTGGCGATTTCGCTTCAAAGCACAACGGACAAGAGCTTGCACGCCATGCATGAAGTCGATGGTCTTGCTCCAGCAGCACAGCACGTTGCTGACATCCAAGTGTGTCATGTCTATGTGCGCCCAGGCTTTAGGAAGATCGATGCTTTGCATCACGGCACAAAGCTGCGGTAAGTTTGGCCTGAACTGTATGCAGAAGTTGAGGAGGATGTTGACAAGGAAAGTCGTCGGTTCCAAGAAGCACGGACCGACCTTGTAGAAGAGCAAGTGCGCGACTTGTGCCGCCGACACGTGGCGCAAAGGGGATAGGCGCCCAGCGATGTATGAATTGATGCACCGGGGTCCAAGTTATAGTATAGTGTATACTGTTGGGGCCCAAACACCTACAAAGTAGCTACCATAACAATACTTGGACCCTTTGGGTGATGCGCCGGGGTCCAGGGTGCCGCTAGCTCTTTGGAACGGACGTTCTGGCGCCTAAAAGCCCAAATCCCCGTCTCGGAAGTCCAACCGCTGGAGTAGAGTTAAGCTAAGAGTCCATGTACCCAAATTGTATATAGTTTGGCCTTACAGTACCTATACAGGGACTACCTTTAAGGCCAAGATATATCTATATCTATATATATATATATATACGGGCACATGGACCCTAAGGGTTTTGTACTGCGGGAATTTAGGGTGTAGGGCTTCATTGATTCATGGACGGGTACAGGATTCGAGTTTCAGACCCTGAAAGCCACGCGAAAAACGCCCTAAGCCCCTAAACCCCTGAAGCCCTTTGTAGACCCTAAACTGCCCTAAATCCTACACCTACACCCCTAAACCCTCAACCCTCAACCCTACACCCTCAACCCTAAACCCCAAACAAAGCCTCGAGATGTCTCCGCGTCGCACGCGCAGCCCGCGCAGCCACGTGAGCTCCTGGAAAGCCAGGGGTCTGGTTCGGAGCGGTCGGGGATCTCGAGTTTAGGGTTTAGGGCTTGGGGTTTAGGGTTTACGGTTTAGGGTTTAGAGTTTAGGGTTTAGGGTTTAGAGTTTAGGGTTTAGGGTTCAAAGTTTGGGGCTTTGGTTTTAGGGCTTGTAGGGAAAACGGTTTAAGGGGTTTGAGCGGTTCAGAGTTTAGGGGTCAAAAGGGGGTTAGGCTTTAGGGGATATATAAGGGGTTCTACAAGGGGTTTAGGGCGTTTAGCGGTTTAGGGCTCTGGGGCCTTAGCTTCAAAACCTACAGTGTTTAGGGCACGTGTTGGTTCAATGGTATAGAGATTATTACCCTAAACCCTAAACCCTAAACCCTAAACCCTAAACCCTAAACCCTAAAGGGTCCCAAAGGGTCCAAGTATTTATATGGTAGCTACTTTGTAGGTATTTGGGCCCCCAAAGATCCCCTCAGTTTGTAGAGGGTTTAGGGTTTAGGGTTTAGGGTTTAGGGTCTATTGGCAACCACTATATCAGACCTTTTCCGGCGTCTGTTATGGTTGGCTGCCCAGGGGTTACGCGACCCTTTCCAGACCCTAGCCCTACACAGACCTTGCATCGGATGTTGACGAGTTTAGGAGGGATCATGGAAAGCCACATACCTATGTCAAACATTTCCACATTCCGACGTCGGTGGGGGGCAATACGGACTGCCGGTGTGAGTCCCGGGCGTTTGTTTGCACATGAATAGGCTGCCTGCAACACTTCTGACGAAGCCAACACGATAGTGTATGAGTGATTAAGCGACAAGAATTGGTGTGCTCAGAAACCCCGGGAAGGCTTTCGACCCGAAGGTGAAACTTACAAACTTGACCCTCGCCTCTAAAGCCTGAACCCTAAACTCGATGTGATCTGCTGCTGCTCCAAGTCGGAGGATACTGACTGACAAACCTAATGAACAAGGCAGTCTCTACCTTTTAACAAAAGGTGCCTTCTCAGCCTCCTGCGACAAGATAGTGCAACATGCGCAACATGTGACAACATGTTGCCACACGACAAAGGTCTAGATTGGTCTGCCAACCAGGGTCTGAATTGGTACCGTCGACCATTCCAGACCTTCCCATCTTCGGCTGCCAGAAGCCCCCCTATCCACACCCTCGCAAACTGAAAGGATCCCCAAAGTATATACTAGACTTTGGGGGTTAGCGGGTTTTGAGTTCTGGGGCTTGAGTTTGGGTTTGGGGCCAGGCGTGGTTTTGAGTGCAGCCGAGGCCGGCATTTGTTTTGCAGTGAAGCTGTAATTATTGGGTTTAGCCTTTTGTGTGTTTAGGTTTAGGGTTTAGGGGTTTAGGGGTTTAGGGGTTTAGGGTTTAGGGTTTAGGGTTAAAAGCTTTGGTTTTTGGCGCGGGTTTACATCCACAATGATCCGCAAGCTGTCGGCTTGGTGGCTTTAACATCATGCACAATGTCAGACTAATCGTCGTCCTCGTCATCTTCAGCGTCATCACCAGCTCATCATCAACAACATCGGTATTGTCTGTCTCATCCAGTGGTGGTTGATGCTAGTTGCTAGACGGAGCCTTCGAACACGGCAAGCATGCGCTCCAAGCCGTACCTCAACGCACTGCACACCCTAAACTTGGCAAATTAGACAAACTACCCCTAAGGTTCCATGTACCCCTACCTTAGGCATCAAGGGGCTCCTTTATAGGCACGTTAAGGCCTATATGCATGAAGGTACATGGAGCCTTTGAGTGAATAGTAGACCTATGTTGAACCTAAACCCGGCAGCACTCCATAAACACCCATATAAACCCTGAGCCCTACACCCTAAACCGCAGTATACCCATATTCCCAATGGGTCCAAGTATTGATATGATAGCTACTTTGTAGGTACTTGGGCCCCAAAAGTATATACTATACTATAACTTGGAATTTTGGGGGATCAAAAGCCAGCAGCTCTCCGTTAAGCTCCTCCCCCTCCCCGAGACGTGCAGAGACGTAGGCAAAGCTCGGGGGACAGCGCATGAGCTCACGCCACCTGCACATGGGGCCCGGGACCTTCCAAAACCGCTTCCATTAAGGGTCCATGTACACCAATACCCAAAGTGTCCAAGGTATAGTATAGGATATACTCTTGGGGCCCGAATACCTAAAAAGTAGCTACCATAGTAATACTTGGACCCTTTGGGGTAGTATATACTTTGGCCTTAAACTAGTCCCTATTTAAGAACTTGGGGGCCCATGTATATACTATATGAGCACATGGACCTGTAGGGTTAGTGAAGGAATGTACCCGTACCTTCATACCACACTGGGGATCCTACCCTCAGTTGAAGGGTATAGTCGTTTATTTCGGGCATAGTCTTTGAACTAAGGAATACATACCTTACCTGTAAACCCTAAACCCTAAACCCTAAACCCTAAACCCTAAACCCTAAACCCTAAACCCTAAACCTTACCTGAAACCATATTAGGGATCCTTCGAAGGGGCCTAGACTCGGGGTAATTTCCGTTACTATTCTGGCTTACAGGTTTCTTTTCTGCCCCGCCCTAAACCCGGATTTGGGTTTAGGGTTTAGGGTTTAGGGTTTAGGGTTTAGGGATCTTATTACGAACGAGTGAGACACCGGCTTGGACCATCCATCTAAATGTCTTACACTCAAAAGACCTGAACCCGGTGCCACAACGCAAACAATCCCAAGTACCAGCGGATATATCCAGACCCCTATCTTAAACTGCCAAAACCTCCTTGTTTTTGTAGCGTCCCTATATGGATTCTACTGTCGGGTCCATAATAAGAACCTACAAAAAACTTACGGTAGTTCAAGGTATTATAGCGCCGCAAGCCCTCAACAACTCCCTCCGACCAGTCGGCGGAGACGAGCCGTCGCGCCAGGGATTCGGCGCCATCGCCCTGTGCAGCGCTGGGTTAAAAGTCTTACCACAAGGGACCTGAGTACCTATGTAGTAGAATGTAGGGTTCCTATACTAGGAATTACCATTCTGATTTGGGCACGTATCCCCCATATAGGTACTTAGGACGCTTAGGGTTAACTAACTTTAGGGTTTACAGTTTAGGGGTTTAGGGTTTAGGGCGCGTCCCGTCCAACACAGCCCTAGCAACGCTTCCGTGTTCAGAATTCCCAAAGGGTCCAAGTTATGGTATAGTATATACTTTTGGGGCCCAAATAGCTACAAAGTACCTACCATATTAATACTTGGGCCCTTTGGGATTGAGGGTCAGTTTTCATGGCTCCGGTTTTTGTGTGACAGTGCAACCTGGAACCCCCAATGGCAGTAGCACCCTCCATCCAAAACTCCTCGGGGTTCGTTTAGGCTTATAGTGTTTTTTAGGGTTTAGCGTTTAGGGTTTAGCGTTTAGGGTTTAGGGTTTAAAGTCTTCGGGGTTCAACATAGGGGCCGCAAGACTAGACTTAGAATAAGGTTTTTCGGGTAGATAATCGCATCATTGCGGCGTTGAAGAAAAGTCTTATATCGGGACTCTCAAGGAATAATAGTAGTCCGAACCAATACATGCATGTGTACTATATATATATGTATATATATATATATGTATGTTTTTATCCTTATTTATCTATATTTCTATATATATATATATGCATATGTATACCGAACCCTGTTTTTGGGTTGAGGGTCGAGTCCTGAAGCTCTGATCGTGCAGGGAATCACTAATCTCTCGACCCTCACGCGAAATTCGCTGGACTTATACCCCACAAAATCCAAAGTGCCTACAAAGTATAGACAAAGGTTTCTACATGAGGAACTACTAGTATGGCTTGTACGAGTATCCCCATGTAAGTACTTCCCAAACCTTCCAGCATCCCTTGATCGACGAATATACGTTGAATCACACTAGGGATCCTACTCTAATTTACGGTATATTCCTCAACTAAGGGATATTGGAAGGTCATCTTTCCAAGTCCTCCGACGGGAGCTGCAGCAGCAGGCTACGGCCATCCGGCGACAGGCGTCCTAGTGGCACCACCTGTGCCGGCATTTGTCAGCTGGCTAGAGGTGCTTCTTGCCACATAAAGTGTTTGTGAGTGTTATGTGATAATGCGTATAAAATGCCTGTACTTTTTTATGTGTATATGAGGTTAGCATTACAAGATGCTTCAAGCCTGCGTGTTGCAGAGCTATCAGTTTCCGACAAGATTCTTTGCAAGGTTCAGGTGCCTGATTTTTACACAATGCCTTGGGGGCATGTTTTAGCAGAATGGTTGAATAGCGACTAAAAAGGAAGAACATGTACACTCTTATATAAAGTTCTTCCGACACGAGATAGACACACATGTATTGACATTTTGGTGGATGCATTTCTTTATTCACTGTCACGGCTGAACATTGATGTCACTGCTGTCATTGTTGTCATTGTCATGATCCTTGTCCTTGTCGTTGTTGCTGGTATTGTATGTGTTGTTGCTCTTGTTGTTGTTGCTGATGTTGTTGCTGCTGCTGCTGTTGTTGCTGCTGCTGTTGTTGCTACTGTTAGTCGCAATAGTCATGTTAGCATTGTTCTTTCATTCGTATTCGTAGTCTTATTCTTATACGAACTACAGTTATTCAGTGCTATTTTCATGATAAACATGCTCTGCGTGTTACTATAAAACCCAAACCCTAAACCCTAATCCCTAACTATCCCTAGACCCACTGTGAACCCTAAACCTAAACCCTAAACCCCAAACTCCTAAACTCTAAGTATCCCTAGACTCAACGCGAGCCCCCTAAACCCTAAACCCTAAACCCCTAAACTCTAACTATCCCTAGACTCACTGTAAACCCTAAACCCTGAACCCCTAAACTCTAGCTATCCCTAGATAAACCCTCAACCCTAAAGCACCTCCAGGATCTGCGCCAAAGGAGTCTGGCTGAGGCCCCGCAGCTTTCGGGCCGCGGCTTTCCTGCAAAGAGCTGCCGAACCAAGGGTGTGCACACCTATATGTATACATATATATATATATATACATATGTATAATGTTATATAAAGATATATATACACACATACATACATACATACATACATACATACATACATACATACATACATACATATATATATATATGTACATATGTATTTTTGGGTATTTATCCTTTTATAGACTTTAAGTATACACAGATCCTTGGAACATCCTGTTGTCTAAGATACGGCATTTCAGTTTTTAAACGGCAAACGGTTCTTATTGCCCCGAAACATGTTTATTTCGATGGGTGCACTTGAAGTCTTGATTTGGGGTATATAGATGTCAAGGATAGGTTGGCAAAATTACCGAACAGACTCGAATAATATTGTCTGCGTGTTGCTGTGGATGCTGGTGACGATGACGATGACGGCTGACGACGATGACCCACGATGATGACGATGATGGCAGTACGTGGTACTTGCGGGCGCCTTGACAGCAATGCTTCTGCTGCCATGATGAGTGCTAGGGTAAGCGCGTCGTTCATTCATGTCCGGGCTGATCTTCACGGATATGAATCTTGCCGCATGCTACTGAAGCAGAAAAGATACTGTAGGGGCCTTAACATTTAGAACAGGGTCCTGAGCACATTATACTATAATGATAATAAGGACCCCCCCCAAAAAAA